TCCAAGACATGACTATGGCCCGAATCTAGGGATTGCACAGATTGACCAAGCACGCCAGTACCATGATTCAGCCGATCGCTGAGCTCTTGCATCGCTGCTCGAATATCTTCGATAGCAGTCTCCTGAAGCTTTCTAAGTAGGTCGGCCGGAGATGCAATTTGAGCCATGGATCTAAACATCACAGTGTCTGTCGCGTCGTTCCGAGCTGATGCTTCTGCTGCTGCCGCTTGCTGAGTGTCGTGCATAGGTTGTGGAGTATCTAGGGGGTTTGGGCTCATAACTTGTTGATGATGACCGAGATCACAACTTGAGCCATACACAACGATGATGGCACCTTCGATGTGCGTGTCATCCTCAGCAGGGGCCATGCCACACACCTCGGTAGGGCATGTCATCCTGAGCAGGGGTCAGGCGCACACCACCAAGGTGCAGGTGTTGTTTCGGCTTGGATTTGACTTCATAGTTGCTGTGAACACATGTTGTTGTGCTGTGTGTACTTGTCAAGCTGTCTCGATGCAGGTGGCCACCGAGCATGTTGCTCGTGTTGCCAGCGATGGTTTTGCAACTCTGTCAAGCTATTATGGTGGTGCTTTACTCAGGACAATTCATGCCCACACATGCGGCATGGGCGCATTTGGGAGCTTGACTGAGCTGGGAGGCCTCTGTCAGCGTGGACCGTCTGGACGAGTATCTGATGGCGACGGCACTTATCCAGGCTAGCTCAATGCAGATCGGTTTTGCTGCGGGCCGGGCTCGGGCTGTTGTGACAGACGAATGTCATTGGTCCAAGAGCCGCGAAACCTTCACTGACTTCAGAGACAAATGTGCCTTGCATGCATTCGAAAGCAAGATGCGATGATGGACTGTCACTGCTGTATATCCTGCGCTCGCTTTTGGGCAGGGAAATCTGTGCACTTGCTACCTAAGGGACGGCCTGAGACCAAAGGAGACGCGACTGCGGCTGTGGCTAACCAAACGGCCAAGGAAAGCAGAGAAAACAATGCGAGCACAGAGTCCAAGAGACTACGAATAGTGGTCGACTCTAACAGCTCAGCTCAGAGTGCGAAAGCCGACAGCAAGGGCAGCAACAGCACGCAAGAAACTGCCAAGTCTGAGGAAGTTCCGGCAGCCAGCAAAGGAGCCGGGTCGAAGCATACAGGGGCCGAGGCCTCCGAAGAGGCTTCGGTCGCGACGAAAGGTCCATCCATAGCCAAGGTGGATAGCAGCTCCGCGGAGGCGGAGGCGGCTCAGGAGCAGCAAGCAGAAGATGAAAGAAAGGAGGCGGCGCTCTCAGAGACTTAGACAAGCGAGGACTCTGACAAGCTCGGCGAACCCAACGCTCCTCCCAATAAGACATGCTTTCGCGAGGCAGAATCCACTGTTCTCGGATGGACGCGGCAGCCCCAGCGCCAGAGTCGATCCGCCCTTGCAGCAGATTATTGTTTTACGAGGCCAGACGACAATGCCTGCGGCTGAGCGAAAAGCAGTCTGCTCGGGCACTAGGGCTGCACGCCGAGGCCACCGCTGCCGTCAACTACGCCTCATCCTACGACCCTCCTTTGCAAAGCTTCAGCCCACTCAGTTTTGAAAGCTGTTGGAGCCAAGGACTTGCAGAACTCCAGGGGAAGTGTTCTCCTCTGGACGATGGCCGCGACCTACGGCGCCCTGACGGCCCGGGCCCGGATGTCGGCCAAGCACGTGTGATTCTCTTGGCTGCTGTTGGCTTCCGGGCTTCAGGTGCTGGCACTCTTGCTCTTCATGATCTGTGCTGTGCCTTGGCATAGAGGCAGACTCTCAGACTCTCGTCACATGCAGCAGGCCTCGTTCTCGCCGAGGACAGGCAGAAATATGCAGCGCAGCTTCAGGCGGAGAAGGCAGCGACGCTCTTACCTCTTACCTGCCCGGCAACGGCAGACGTGCTGTGCAGTCTGCAAAAAGGCCATGGCTGCGAGAAGCGCCAGGCCTGGACCAGCAGCAGAACGTGCAACTGCAACTGCAACTATCTGCAACCGCAACAGTCCAGAGCGCTCTCATCTCTCGCTCTGGTGAGGCCAATGTTGTGACTTCGGACAGCCGAAGCCGTGAGCCTGCTCCACGTTAGCCGCTGATGTCAAGACGATCCTGACACGCCGGGCGAGTAAGCGACAGTTGCCAGGATCTTGTTCAGCAAGATTGCTAGGATGTTCATGCACACTGACACTTGATGGAACACAGTTCTGCAAGAGGATTCAGAAGCCATGCGCATCGCTGCGCTGTGTGCGTGAGTGCGGATGTGAAAAGTGCTTTACACCAACAGAGAACATCTGCTCTGTAGGTGCGGGCCTTCACTACATGAGTCGAATACATGAGTCGGACTTCTCCGATGGACTGCTCTTTCATGCTCAGGCTCTCGAAAGCTCTTCTCTAGGTTTCTAGGCCAGCCCGAAAGTCAGCGCAGGTTCCCAAGACTCTGTCAAGCATGCAGCTTCACCCTAGTCCGCTTCGGATCACTTGTAGTAGAATAGTTGTAGCAGCTTTAGTATTTAGAGTGGCCATGTCGGCTCAGGACAGGGAGTTCTTGGCTAGACATGCCCGTGTTTTGGCAGTGGCTTCCTGCAGGACTTGCCGCCAGCAAAGCGAGCAGCAGCTGAGGAAGAGGAGGAAGACGATGAAGCTCCGGTCGGGCTGTTGGCCACGACAGAGCAATCATGTTGAGCACGTCGATGAATTTGCTCGTTTGATCCATGCTTGATAGCTACCTGCCAGTGAGAGGCTGCACTTACAACTTAAGCTCACCCAGTGCTGTTCAGGGAATGCGAGGCCGGAAAGCATGTGTCCTGGCTTCCATCTTCCAGGTCAAAAAGAAGAAGATGGAAGAGGTTCCGCAACGTGTGGACCTCAGTTATCTCAGCAGGCCGGACTGCCATCAAGCAAAGCTTCCCACGAGGGAGGCGACCAAACAACGAAGCCCAAACGAGCATGGGCCTTGAAGTTAGGAAGGAAAGCAGGTCAGATAGGCCTAGTTGCAAGATGCCGCGTTTTGGCTTTGGCACTGACCTCCTTTGAACCCTTTTAGCCATGTCTCTTCAAGCGCGTGTTGTGTCTGTGGAAGCACCACTTCTGCTACCTCTGCTGCTGCTGACCCATGCTGCTGCTGCTGCCGGTGGTGGCTGGTCTGTTTCGAATCTTGAGCCATTCGGTGCAACTGAAGGAGCCTTGAAAGATCAGGTTTTTGCAAGATCTGCTCTCGTTTTCTTGCACAGTTCGAACTGCGGAGTCCGGTTGAGCGATTCTGTGAGGCATGGATTGCCCATACCTGGGTACCATCAACAGGCCCGTTCACCGTTCGGTCGCTGGGTCACATACGCCGAATGCGTGGAGATGAGGCATGTGCTGGATTTCGACTTCGAGAAACTGTGCTCGATGACACTATCTGGCGACAATGTCTACTGCGATCTGGTGGACGGAAAATTCTTCCAGGGTCGTGGCAAGGAGACTCCCGCCTACCGCCAGGGCCTCAAAATGACTTGACTCGGCGAGTGAAGGCACCCTGAACTGAACAAGGCATCAACCAGCAACCAAAACCTCCTCCTTGAAAGAGAGACGGCTCAGGGTGACCCTGCATGCCTTAGGACCGCAAGCCCAAGCGATACCTGCTGCTGGCATGCTCCTCCTTTTGTGATGGCTTTTTGGAGGTAGGAAACACCATGGTCGTTGAACGATTCGAGCGATCCAAGCTCGCACGCGCGGGTCAAGCACAATCGAACGCTGCCTCAATAATTGAGCACTGAAGCACGCACGATCGAAGTCCGCGCGCATCCTGTGATTCAAGATTTCATGCTTTTCGGTTTTGGTACTTTCTGGGTTTCAGGGGTTTTTTGTGCCACAGGTAAGTTTGTGGCACTTTGGGTTGTTTGGCTTGAAGATTTTTCGAGTTTAGGGTTTTTGAGGTGTGGGGTTTTGAGTGTTGAAGTAGCACGTATGTTTAATCATTCGTTGCATGTGACTGCTGCCACAGTGCTCTAGTGGTAAAAAGTGTGTGCACATGTCATGGTATAATACCGCCACTAACACTTGGACGGGTATCACAATACATCAGTGCTTGTGATTACAACTGGTGTTCCTATTTGGTTCTATATTGAGGGTGGTGTTTACGGGGTTCAGGAAGTGGGTTGAGGGTTTACGGTTTAGTGCACGAAGCTTCGGGCACGAACCCAGGAAATATCACGGCCTGCGTGCGCGAATCCCCTACATGTGCGCGAACCCCTGTGAGCGAATCTGCCTTGCTCGAAGCAGCCGCGCGGTGCCCCGATCGGTTTTCTAGCGCAGAAACCCAACATGCCATGGTCCAATGGTGTTTGTTCACCGGTTTTGGTGTGTCGCGTAGGAGCCGTTGTCCCACGCCCCAAGGCCATGTTCTCCCACCGAGGCCATGCACTGGAGAAGGGGCACTATGTATGGATGAATGCAGTTGATGGTAAAGTCTATTGCATTCCGGACGGTTACGAAGTGGTGGACAAGTCCCTAGAGGCCGGATATCCACAAGTGCCTCCGCTCTTGATGTAGTCGCCGTTGGTGAGGATATCAAATACAACCTGATCCCGTTTTTCGATGAGGAGGACTTGTGTTGCTTCGGCATGTTCCTTTCGTGTGTTCCAGACTCCCTGGCGTAGATTCCGGCTTTCGGAATGATGATGTGGAGTCTTTTGCGATCAGGATGCCGGTGTGTTTCAGGCAGAGCTGTGTAGATCATGGTGTTGGCCACTAGCCATAGGCTGGCAGACTGCTGGCAACTTGCTGCAAGCGTGCGATCACATGCGGGCCCATCGCTTCGCTGGACAGGAGATTGAATTCATGTCAACACGCGTGCGGTATTCCAAAGCCTTGGATGGCACCGACTACATTCCTGGATGCATTGGTCACGCACTTGGAATGACGGTCACCAGCCCACAGCAGCCGCTCCAGCTGTGACTGCTCCCAGCTGCTCGTCGCCACCAGGTCTGAACAACATTCAGGACTCGGACTACCAGAATGTGGTCATCCAGATGCTTTGCACCGTTGTGGCCTTGGCAGAACATGCTTGGTCTTGCCAGAGCAATGTGTGCAAATAGTTATACTCTGAGCTGTCCGAGGTGATCCCGATCCGGAATTACTTCCTGGGCTACCAGCCACCCTCCGAACGAAAGTTGGACTCCCAAGGGCTCGGCTCTTTTAAGCTTGTAGGCAAGATGCATCGAGGCCAGACCCCGTGCTGGCAACCATCTCGCAGTTGTTCCGCAAGATGTACAACCCCAGGAACTTCAAGGGGTGGTAGCCTTGGTGGCCTCAGAGACTCAGATCCTTCGATTTTCTTCACCTCGCGCCTGTCTTCTTCTCTTCTCTGAGGATTGTTTCTCCCCACGAGTTCTACCAGGCTGTCGGCAGAGTTACCCAAAAGAAGCCTCAGACCCGGGGGATGCCGAAAACATCAGAGCGGTGATGCATCCTTGGCCCAGGTTCTATGCTAAGCAGATGGATCCTGTTGCCTTCTTCTCTTGGTAGAGATCTCAGCCTGGATTGTGCTGGGCCGGATCGCGAGGAGTTTCCCAGTCCCAAGCTTCAACTGAGGCTGATGGGGTACCTTCACAAAAAGAGCAGAGACAAGAAGGGAGACTCGCTGATCCACGACGTCTTCCAGGGTGAGGTTCAGGCACATCCCTGCCCGGCAGTTGGCAATCAGATTTGAGCTTTTGGTTCTGCACCTGATGCAGGTCAAGCTGTGCCCTGCCCATGAAGAGTCAAGAATTACAGAGTCCAAAGAGAAGACGGTATTCCTGACACTGGCGCCTCTCTCAGACTTTGACGAGTCCACGCCAAGCACGGTACATTGGCCAAATTGCAGGAGTTGCCAGACGAGCCGCTTTTCAAGGACAACCTGGACTTTATTCCGCAGGCCATGGTCAAACTGGTTTCTGCGCAGGTTGTCGCAGGAAACTCTTTCACTTGTAGGTGCCGCTGTTTAACCTCTTGGAGAAGTTCAACGGCGAGAAGCCTTTCGAGAAGATCGCAAAGGGTGGCGAGTCCCGCGAGATCAGGAGGTCACTTGGTGGAGGGGTGTGCATCACGTGCAGCTTTAATCAGCAGGTTTTGATCATGCGCATGAGGTTAATGCGAACTTCGCCTGTCAGCCATCACAGACTGTCGCAGACTACTTCCGCTGATCTGCTCTGAGACCCACCTGCCCCTCCTCCTCCTCCTCCTCCTCCTCCTCCTCTTGATATCTCTTGATCATCATTGCCGCCATCACAGTCTTCCAGAATGCATGAGAATCATTATGTGTTATGCCTCTGGTTCAGTTTTCCGCCAGGATCAGTACCTTGCCCAGAGACCAAAATTGTGTCATGAAACGACTCAGAGCCATTTTGGCAGAAGATCTGGACCGTGGGTCCTTGATGAGATGTCTTTCAAGTAGGCGTTTCTTCCAAGCTTGCAACGAGCTACTTGACCGCCACGTTCCCACGGAAAAGGTGTGGGTACGTACATGGCCCTTCGTCTTGCGCAAGCTGCAGTGGCAACAGGAACAGGGGCAGGATCTGTGATAGCGCAACGGGGTTGGCAATTCTGGGTGGCTCGCTCTCTGGCTAGTGAAGTCGCAGGGCTTTTATGGCAGCAGCTCTTACAGAGTATCGGCCCTGATGTCGTCGGCTGCTCGATCTTCGGTCAGCCTTGTACTTGGGCAGCGTGGTTCTGCTCTTGGAGTGGTTGCCGCTCATCATTTATTGTTTCCGATTGGTGCTGCAATTGATCTTGCGAGCGGTCTGTCCAGAGGGCCTTGAGCTGGCAAGCTGGGTTGGGCTGGGCCGGGCTGCGGTTCATAGGTTGGAAAGTGGATTGGGGCCTGCAATCCAGGCGATCAGGTCAGGCATCATTAGCCTGCACTCGGATAGCAGGTACCGCCCAGGTGGCGACACTTGTGGTTGTCAGCATTACGACCAGGTGTACATCGTGGTCCACCCACCGGGTTACCAGAACATGTGGGGCAGACATGTGGGCAGTGATCTTGCCGATGGATGGGCATGTGAATGGATCAGTCACGGTGGGGGCGGCGTTCTGAAGGCCTCCAGTAGGAGTAACAACGCAGGCCAGGCGAACTGGGCTTGCACACCGCCCGGAGCTTTCAAGATGCTGCAGAAACCATACAAGTATCAAAGAAGATGCGACACTGTTGCAGGTGCAGGGCAGGGCCTACCAGTTATCCCGAAAGTACGGCAGAGCAGCGGGACCACTGGAGGCGTGCGGTGGCAGTGCTGGTGTAGCTCGCGGGTGCCGCGTTGGGTCTGCATGGTGGAAGTGGAGGCGACAATGGTGGTGGTGGTACCCAAGCATGGACCTGAATCCTTTGGTTGAGGCGGTGCGACAGCTTCATGAAGGCGCCACATGCGCAGGGGTCCGGACCGTTCCTTTGCGGCAGGTACCCTTTGGGTTGACGAGCGTGTAGGACCTAGGAGCTTCGCCTCGCTCTTGGAGTTTGAGATGCAGATCGGCATTGGTAGAAATCCGAAGCCCGTCCCACATGGAGGAAGAGTGCGACTACCACTGGCACAAGGAGGTGCTTGCAGCTGCGGGACGATCATCAGTCCTGGTAGAGGAACCGAGCAGATTGTCGTGCTCAGCGACCTCACGGTCCCGACCTCAGACTCAGAGTGGAAGAAGATGCTTTAGCCGGAGATGGGCTTGTATTTTTGGCAGCCAAAACCTTTATCAACCGCACTCAGTTGATCATCTCCCCGTTGCAGACGTCCACGACAGCAATGCAAGGCCCACCTTCCTTCGCGATTCGGGCAGTTTGCGGTTAGAGGATCACCCTGCCACTGGTGGTCTTTCAGGTTTTCGCCGAGATGTGCGGCAATTTTGAGGAGGAGCTGGGGCAGGAGGCCACGGTCGAGGTCAAGATGGCAACACGGGGCAGTGGTGGCAAGCTGAAATTTTGTGGCTTCCTGGATTCGAGTCTCTATCTCGGGACTTTGGTGGACCAGGAGTGTTGGTGCCCGAGGCACATCGCGGCCCAACATTACAAGAAGAGACACGTCAGCACCAAGGAGGCTCATGCCTTCTAATCTGTGTCCATTTGGGAGATCGTTGACAAGGAAGACACCGGCGGTTACGTCTGCAAGCCTGCAGGCATTGCAGATGAAGAGGATTTTGGCGCTCATCCGGGGATCCACTCAGTTCCAAAGCTGCCCAGCTGGAGCTGGTTTCGGACGAAGCTCCCCAGCACCTCTACGAGTCCTTGGTGAAGGACCGCCGACAGCCGGGCGAAGTGTGGTCATCTGGTCGGTGGTCCTATCCATCCAGGAGCATCCTCAAGAACAGCTACGCCATGCACTGCTGGGGTCCCCCCACAGGGGCCTTTCACTGCCAGATGACGTGCAACCTTGGACACTTGACACCCCTAAGAGTTTGGCACTTTTGTCCTTTGTAAGTTTCTCATAGACAAGGCAAATTATCAGGGCAACATTTACTCGCTGCTGAACGACAAGTCCAAGAAGATTGCTACCCCGATCAGTGTTATGCAGTGATGGAGAGTTTCCTCCAGCAACACCACAGCATGCAGTTGACACCCTTTCATGTCAAGCGAGACTACAACTCATGGCGGGTGAGCTGACCCATCCTCATTTTATTGCTGTCTCCCTGGCTTGCGGCTCCCTGTTGAGCCCGCTCTTTCGAGATTTACTCTGATAAAATCAGTTCTTGAAAATCGAGTGATTCTTCCTGGTCCATGGACACATGCAGGGTGCCCGGTCAGGCTGTGGCTGCCTCCTGATTTGCTTTTTGTGGATGGCACGCGCTTCTGTGTCTTGGCTAGGGGTCCAGCGCCGCAGGTGCCTTGGGCCCTGGAGGGTTGGAGACCTCGTATGGTTTTGCATCAGATCTTCGACCCAAAAGCACACCCTGGGAAGTCGGCAGCCACACCCATCCACCACGCCAACGGGACCGCTTGCACAAATGGTTGTGGTGTGTTTGCCATTTCATGGAATATCTGACATTCATGAGTGTCCTTCCGCAGACCTTCTTACCCATCATCATCATCATCATCATCGCCATCGTCATCATTATCAAAATCGGCATCATCATCATCATCATCATCGCCATCGCCTCATCGTCATCATCCTTATCACACATTCATCCCCAACATCTCGTTTCAGACGACAAAAGCCTTTGTTTTCATTGTCTCACGGTCGTTATGCATGCCCACTACTGCGTTCATGCACTCACTGATTTAGTTTTAGTCTTTCACTCATTCCACGGACTCCACATGCCCTACTCAGCCCCCCTCTCCGCCTACTACGTCCAATACAGGTGCTCATGCAGCTCCAATCACTCACTTACCCCTCTTGATTGCGTGCACTATTCCGGCAGTTCCACTTCAGCTGGTGGTGCTAGTGCGGTCCGCACGCATCACGGTGAGTTTGTTTTGCTGCAGGTACAGCTTGAGGCGCTTGCCTCCCTACGTCATCTGCGTAGTGAAGCGCTTCCGAAACAACAATTTCTTCGTTGAGAAGAACCCTACGATCGTGACGTTTCCCCTGAAAGGTTGGGGCCTGAGGACACTGCATTCATGCGAGTGCAATGAAGCGACACGCATTGCTCAGGACTGGATCTCAGGGACTACATTCATCCAGACTGTCAGCCCGCCAACCCCGAAACGAAGTATGTGCTCCTGCCATGTGAGATTTAACAATCTTGCTGCGTTGAGAAGGTCAACATTCTGCACGATTCGAGAGACATATGCACATTGATTGGATGGACTGCACTGAAGTGACAGCAACCGCAATGAAATTGTGGAAAACCCCTTTATGCCAACCTTACCCGTGCGAGCTGCCCTTACAACTGTGAGCAGCCACAGACTATGAAGTCATCTAGCGAAATGAAAGAAAGGAGACGGCTGAAGCAAAAGACTCAAGGTGCGCCAGACATTTCAAGACTACGTGCCCAGATGCGAGCGCAAATTTACTGTCCAAGGCTTGGAAAAGTAACTTAGGAAAGTTGTGGGTCAATGTGCCACTCCGCGAGCTGGGCACATGTCATTTATGACATTTGCCCGCGACGTGTAGTGGGGATGACGACCGCAACGACAGCATTTTGTTGTTCTCGTTGTCGTCTTCGTGGTCGTCGTCGCTGGTCGTCGTGGTCGTCGTCGTTTGGTCGTCGTCGTCTCTGCTGCTGCTATGATTGGGTGCGGTGGTAGTGGTGGCGGCGGCGGCGGTGGTGGTGTCTGTGATAAGGGTGATTGAGATGGCCGTGGCAGTTATGATGAGTAATTATGGTGGCAATGACAGCGACTCGGGTTCGGGTGGTGCAGCACGAAAACAAGAATCGATGCTGATTGTGAGTCTCGTGGTGCTGGAGACAGTTGTCGGGCTTCGCGATTGTCGATGAGCATAGTGACGTAGTCGGAGTGGTCACTCATGGAATGTGACTAGGGTGGCAAAGACGGTGGGAATGTTGTGAAGATCATGATGATGAGCATGACGATGACCGATCAGGACGCCGCGATGATCCTGGTGCTGATGAAGCTGGTGTTATGCTCGTGAACATGGTTTTGATTTTGGTCGTCACGATGGTGTTGATCAGAGAGTAATGACAGACGGTGAAGCGGAGGATGTCCTTCCCCCTCCTTCGAGGAAGCTTCTGACATGAGCAACACTGGTCTTCTTGTATTCGTATGTATTTAACATCCGCGATTGCCTCTCTGGTTTCTGTTGCCACCTCTGTTACGGCTTACATCATATACAGCTGTGCTCGCATGAGCGAGGGGAGCTTGGCAAGTCATGCCCATGACAAACAGCATTCTCAATGATGAACTTCGTTTTGGCGATGCTAGGCCTTATTCGGTTTTGCCACGCGACAAAGTCTGAAGGTGACTTTGCCCGGTCACCTGTTGAGTGTCGGTGGCTGGCAGCAAGTGCAAATACAAAGGCCTGCGACATCTTCCCTGCATGTTGGGCCCAACTCTTGCAACCACGAAGCCACACTTGCTTAGGATCTTCCTTGTCACTATCTCTAGCTAGTGACTAGACTAGTTGCACAGCTATAGAGGCCGTCAGGTGAGAACTGTGGTGAGACTTGGGTAGCCCAAGTGTTCAGATCCTTTCTGGTCCTGGGGACCTTGAAACTACTAATTGTCGCGAGCCTTGTTTCGGCACTAGTTGTCACATGACCTGTTTCAGCAGCTGACATTTTCTGAAATCATACCTTGAAACCATGACTTTAGTTGTTTCCACATTTTTTTTGTGTGTTTACTACTACTACTA